TGCGCATTTTGCATGAGTTTGGTAAGGGCGCTGGTGGCGATTGCAGTTGCAAGCTGAAGCAGCATTTCAGTATGGGCGGCAGGCGCGGTGTTGGCACCAGCATGTGCGGGCGGCGGGGGAAACATTTGGTTTGCGGCATGTGGTGGTGGGGGAGGCTGCTGGTATGGTAGCAGCGGTCCACGAGGGAAAGGTGGAGGCGGAGCACCAGCGGCAGGCGGCGGCGGCGGAGGTGGCGGAAGGGGTTGGGAGGACCTGGCGAGGTTACCGTCCGGACCAAGTTGATCTGCCCTGTGCCCTGTGACAGACACAAATGGGCTGCCTGACATGCAACTTGCAGTGCCGCTGACGGTGGCCGAAGCTTCGGCACCGCCGGCAACGGACGGGGTCGCGGCAATCCTGGACGCGGTGGTCTGGAGCAAGACAGCGGAAACAACCACCAGGGGAGAAGGGAGGCAGCTTGTTCGGTGCTGGAGGCGAGTGCTTTGCAGGTGTCAGGGCGCTTGCAAGTAACTGCGTGAGGTGACTGGTAGGTGGGGAGCAAAGGCCTTTGGTGTTGGGAGTAACGGGGGCAGCTGGCAAGGTTGTTGACAATCCATCGGCACAGCGCGCATTGAATCCTTTTTCAGCGACGTACGCCCTCGAGCCGCACGCCCACATAACTGCTCTGAAGAACGGACTTCTTTTCCATTGTTTGGCATGGGCAGGTGAGGCACAGTAACTGAATCTGTACGGTCATCTTCAACCTCGGGAGGGAGCAAACTTGCAGCTTTCCTTGCCGCAGCCATGGACGAGTGCGGGACTAGGACAGATTTGCCGAGGTGGAGAGGGCCACGAACAACCAGAACGTTTGCCACATTACGACTCGCGACAGATGCACGAAAAACTCTAGAACCCAGGCTGACAACACGAAGGCGACCCGGACTCGCGGTTAGGAGGAAGTTCAGCATGTTGCGGACAAAGGCAAGGTTGTATCGGGGTGCTGTACTGAAAGGCGTGAACCAGACGTAGAAGGTGGAGGAGGGGGCTACAGTGTGGGGAAGAACGGTGGAGTGGAAATCTCGAAGGAAAAGATCCTGCAGCAGCTCTCCTGGTTGGGCATTGGGGCGACGTACCTGAACACTGGAGCTGGCGTCGTTGCCTTCCACAAGTGGCTGGCGAGACCGGGCATTGGGGCCGGCTTGAGTTTTGCAGGGTGCTGGCTCATTGCAAGCTATGGTGGGAGCTAGGATTGGGGTGTTGGCTGGTGTCGCTGGGTGGGCTGGGGTGGGGCACGAGCTAGGTAGGCACGGCTCCTGGCCGTTCCGGCGGCTTGCTAATGGGCGGACGGTGGTGCTAGGTTGGTTTGTCCGGCGGTTCCGTGGTGGTGCCGCCAGGGTAGGCGGAGTCGCGAGAGGGGTCGCTCATCTCCTCCGGTCGCTCATCTTCGGAGACATCCGATAAAATTGGAACGATATAGAGAAGATTAGCATGGCCCCTGCGCAAGGATACAACAACAACAAAGCCTTTAAGTCCCAAACAAGTTGGGGTAGGCTAGAGTTGAAACCCAGCAGAAGCAATCAAGGTTCAGGCACGTGAATAACTGTTTTCCAAGCACTCCTATCTAAGGCTAAGTCTTTGGGTATATTCTATCCTTTCAAGTCTTCTTTTATTGCCTCTACCCAAGTCAACTTCGGTCTTCCTCTGCCTCTCTTCACGTTACTATCCTGGCTTAGGATTCCACTACGCACCGGTGCCTCTGTAGGTCTCTGTTGGACATGTCCAAACTATCTCAACCGGTGTTGGACAAGCTTTTCTTCAATTGGTGCTACCCCTAATCTATCACGTATATCATCGTTCCGAACTCGATCCCTTATTGTATGACCGCAAATCCAACGCAACATACGTATTTTCGCGACACTTATCTGTTGAACATGTCGTCTTTTCGTAGGCCAACATTCTGCACCATACAACATAGCAGGTCTAATCGCCGTCCTATAAAACTTGCCTTTTAGCTTCTGTGGTACCCTTTTGTCACATATGACACTAGATGCTTGGCGCCACTTCATTCACCCTACTTTGATTCTATGGCTAACATCTTCGTCAATATCCCCGTCTCTCTGTAGCATTAATCCTAAATATCGAAATGTATCCTTCCTAGGCACTACTTGACCTTCTAAACTAATATTTTCCTCCTCCCGAGTAGTAGTGCCGAAGTCACATCTCATATACTCAGTTTTAGTTCTACTAAGTCTAAAACCTTTGGACTCTAAAGTCTCCCGCCATAACTCCAGTTTCTGATTCACGCATGTCCGACTTTCATCAACTAGCACTACATCGTCCGCGAAAAGCATACACCAAGGGATATCCCCTTGTATGTCCCTTGTGACCTCATCTATCACTAAGGCAAACAGATAAGGGCTCAAAACTGACCCTTGATGTAGTCCTATCCTAATCGGGAAGTCATCCATGTCTCCATCACTTGTTCGAACACTAGTCACACTATTGTTGTACATGTCCTTAATGAGCCCGACGTACTTCGTTGGGACTTTATGTTTGTCCAAAACCCACCACATAGTATTCCTTGGTATTTTATCATAAGCCTTCTCCAAGTCAATAAAAACCATGTGTAGGTCCTTCTTCTTCTCCCTATACCGCTCCATAACTTGTCTTATTAAGAAAATGGCTTACATGGTTGACCTTCCGGGCATGAAACCAAATTGGTTCATAGAGACCCGCGTTATTGCTCTCAAGTGATGCTCGATAACTCTCTCCCATAGCTTTATAGTATGGCTCATCAACTTAATTCCCCGGTAATTAGTACAACTTTGAATATCCCCTTTATTCTTGTAGATCGGTACCAATATACTTCCCCTCCACTCGTCAGGCATCTTGTTCAATCGAAAAATATGGTTAAACAGCTTGGTTAGCCATATTATAGTATGTCCCCAAGGCATCTCCACACCTCGATTGGGATACCATTCGGTCCCATCGTCTTACCTCCTTTCATCCTTTTCAACGTCTCTCTGACCTTAGATTCTTGGATTCTCCGCACAAAGCGCCTATTGGTGTCATCAAAAGAGTCATCCAACTGAAAGGTTGTGTCCGTATTCTCACCATTGAAGAATTTGTCAAAATACTCTTGCCATCGATGTCGGATCTCATCCTTCTTCACCAAGAGATGCTCCCTTTCATCCTTAATGCACTTAACTTGGTTGAAGTCCCTTGTCTTTCTCTCACGAACCCTAGCCATCCTATAAATGTCATTCTCTCCTTCCTTCGTACTCAAATGTTGGTAAAGATCCTCGTACGCTCTACCCTTTGCCACACTTACAGCTCGCTTTGCAGTCTTCTTTGCCACTTTGTACTTCTCTATGTTGTCCACACTCCTGTCATGGTACAAGCGTCTATAGCATCTTTTCTTCTCCTTAATAGCCCTTTGGACTTCCTCGTTCCACCACCAGGTATCTTTAGCCTCGCCTCCACTTCCTTTGGTTACTCCACACACCTCTGAGGCCACCTTCCGAATGTTGGTTGCCATCTTCTCCCACATGTTGTTTATGTCCTCTTCTTCCTTCCAAGAGCCATCTTTGATAACCCTTTCCCTGAATACCTCTGACGTCTCCTCTTTCAGTTTCCACCACTTAGTTCTTTCAATCTTAGCTTGTTTATCCCCTGATATGTTGAGAAACAACACACTCCCCTGGTATCACCTTGTAACCCAAGCATGCTCGTTTGTCCTTTCTTCTTGCGAGAACAAAGTCAATCTGGCTAGAGTGTTGTCCGCTACTGAAGGTCACTAGATGAGATTCTCTCTGTCTAAAGAAAGTGTTGGCTATCATCAGGTCAAAAGCTACCGCGAAGTCCAGAACTTCCTCCCCCTCCTGATTCCTACTACCATACCCAAAACCTCCATGAACTGCCTCAAAACCTGCGCTTGTAGTACCTACATGCCCATTAAGATCTCCTATAAAAAGCACAAATCGAGAAATGGTCCAAATTTTTTGAGAAAGCTATGAACAAGGCTGACTGGTATCAAACTGTTGGAGTAGAGCCCGGCACCAATTTACTACGCTTTCACTTCTTTCTAGTTATATATGTGCTGTTACCTTTTTCAGTCACTATATGTTCAAACTTAATAAATCCCCATTTGTTGTTAAGTTGTTTTGTTGTTATATGCGTTGTAGAGTGGTAGTTACTTATGGTGTATCACCTCCTCTAGAAGAAGGGACAATAATAAATCACTTAATCTGCTGCCCATGTTGAACGAATCTTTAATAGAGAGGTGCTTATAAGAAAATGAACGCGCCATCTATAAGGCTGGAAGTAATTTAGTCAAGCACCTATCCCAGACCAATTAGATGTGAAGAAAGTAGTTACCCGCTGCCAACCATAAATGAGTGTTGTAATTAGGTTGTGATCTTTTTATGATTGTTTGATCATTGATGCCAGATTGCAAGTTCCCTAGTTTTATTTTGCCTGGTTAAAAGTATAATTTCTATTAAAAGTCATGCTAAGCGATAGCTCGGTTGATTGCGTCTCCTGTTGATGAGGCTTCCCGCCTGGACTCAAACCCAGGTGCTTGCGAAGTGGTACATCCCTGAGAAGAATGGCTAGTATGTCTCCCATCTAGCCAAGGGCTGGTGCCTCCCTATATTAAGGACAATGCCAAGGGGTCGTCTATTGCCATGGAGTTACCTTATTTACACTACTGGCTAGTCTTTTGACAGCATTTCATGCATCAGAAAATGTTCTACTTTAATGTTCCATGTTACTTGAAATTCTCAGAAATTCAAGAGCATGGTACTTGAGTTTTTTTTTTTTTTTCAGAAGAATATTGCTTATCTGCAACACTGTCATTCTTGAGTACTATGTTATTGTATGTAAGCAACACATTATGTGTTTAAAGTACTTTGTTTACTGCTGCTCACCAATGAATAGGTGTTTGCACCTATATTAAGAAGTATCTTTTCAATAGATACTGTTTCATGAAAATACACTAATAGCATTGTTTTCTTTGCTAGCTCAATAGTAGAGGTTTCGTATCTATTTTCCGAGATGGTTCAACATGGACTCCGCTGCATTGCATTCTGTAAAAGTAGGAAGCTATGCGAGCTTGTCCTAGCTTACACGTAAGGACACATTTTTTCTATGTATACCATTTTTCTGTTTTTGTTGAACTTTCGGGAACATGCACTTTTACTACAGATGACCCATAACCCATTTGTTGTAGGCGTGAAATTCTTCAGGAGACTGCAAAAGAATTGGTAGATTCTATCTGTGTATATCGTGCTGGCTACATTGCTGAGGTTAGTATGTCCTATCGCTAAAGTGTTCTGCCATTCTGCTTGTGATTTGTGGTATGCTCTAATGATTTTTGGTCTGACAAAATACTATAAATATATTTCTTGCCCATGATCTCAGAATTGGTTTGCTACATGTTGGATTTTTAAAAGCATAGTACTATACATACTTGCGGCACTGCCCACTGCCCAGCACTTCAATTTTTTAAACTTCTAATAGACGGGTCTGTAATTTTCTGCCTATGGTGCTCTTTCATTTTTCTACCCTGTATGTTTAATCTTCCTGCTCTCTTGTGTATTCAAGAAAAAAGAAAGACCAGTCAAAACCATGTATGGAGGCCACTTACGGGCTGTGCCGGTCCTGGTTCAAAATTGATTAACCCAAGGTCAGAAGATCTGATGACGAGCAGCTGCTACCGCCAATGCAGTTGGTCCCCGCCCTTTGACTGTTGGGCCTGCAGGAGGTTCACAGATGTTTCACGCAAATGTGTGCCAAAGCGGAGGCATGGAGATGATGACGCTGACAGCGACTGTACCAGCGGCACCCTGACGACAGGGGTGTTGTCAGAAAGGACAGTGAAGATGTGGGAGCCCTGGAGGATTGAATGGTTTACTTTGCTGCTGCCATCATCATGACTCATGTGGGATGCGCAATTAGACCACCTAGACATAGATTAGTCAAAGAGTAATTGCTAGTCATGCGGTGACCGCCTATCTACCATCTAGGATAACACTTACAACACGCTCGTTCCCCTTTCCTGCCCATAGATGTGAGCATCAAAAAATTAAAAACAAAATGAGGTCTTCTTTTGCATCCATTTACAAAACCTACAAGTAGCAGCAATGCTTCAGCAATTATGTTTTTTCAGGGATTTTTGTCCCTTACTAAAAAAAATGTGTTACAAAATGTTTTTAGGATTTTTTCACAGCGACACATTAGGCATCAAAATGCTTTGAAAAAAGATTGGCAGGGGAGAAAATATTTGACACATTCACTAAATAATGGAATAACTAATAGCTAAGTGGAAATACGCAGAGCTCAAGCCCAAGGCAATCAACATGTAAGAGGCTTGCTCTGCTACTGTTACTAAGTGGAAAATGAAAACACGCAGAGCTCATTTTATTAAGATGGTGTGCTGTAAGTCCATTTCTGGACCATACCAACCAGTGTGGTGCACCACTTAACAAGTTTAGAGACCTAGAAATGCATTTTCAAAGTTCGTGGACCTAAGTGGCACCCCTTGACAAGTTCAGAGGCTATGTTATTGTGCAATGTAGTATGGTCTCAGAAATATTTTTTTCCGAACACGCAGGAGAGCAGCGTGTCACTTCATTAATTGGTAGAAAACAGTCTGATTATACGCCGACTTTGGTCAGTGAGAAATGAATTGTTTTCAGGACAGAAGAAAAATCGAGGCTGATCTTTTCGGGGGGAAACTTCGTGGAGTCGCTGCTACTAATGCTCTTGAACTAGGGATTGATGTTGGGCATATTGATGCAACATTACATCTTGGATTTCCTGGTAGTATTGCCAGGTAGGTGAAGAATGACATATTCAATGAAGCTGTATGTTTATCTTGTCATCCTGCTAAGGTACAGAATTTTAACTGCAGCTTGTGGCAGCAAGCCGGTAGGTCTGGAAGAAGAGCAAAACAATCACTAGCCATTTATGTTGCCTTTGAGGGTCCTTTAGATCAGTATTTCATGAAGTTCCCACATAAACTATTTGGCAGGCCGATTGAGCATTGCCAAGTTGATTCACATAATCTAAAGGTTTATAGATCTGTGTTTATTTTATTAACTAATTGGTAAGTATAATACCTTGAGAACCTAACCCTTCTCTTTTATCTCAAAATTGAAATTTATTACAGGTTTTAGGACAGCACCTTGCTTGCGCTGCTTATGAACATCCCTTGTGCCTGCAATACGATGAGCGCTACTTTGGCTCTAGTCTCGATATTGTTATGACAACCCTTAAAGACAAAGGTTATATCATTAATAATCGAGTTGGATCTTTCTCTTCAAGCATGTGGAACTATATTGGACCTGAGGTTTGTTCATTCTTTATTTGTATCCTATAATGTCTCTTATTTTGTTTTAGTAAGAGAAGTATTTTGTCTTTCCGCAGAAAAGCCCTTCACAGGCTGTAAGCATATGGGCAATTGAGCAGGACAAGTATAAAGTGATTGACAAGTTAAATAATCGATTACTTGAGGAAATTGAGGAAAGTAAAGCCTTTTTTCAGGTATATGTTCCTTCACTACACATCATCTCTATAGGCCTCTTTCAATACTTCTCCACTACTAGCACAACCGACAGATTAGTTGATGAATTTTTGAATTAGCATAAAAAAATTATGTATGTTATTATGGACTCATATGTATGTACTGTAGATCTGCTACTATGTCTTCTGTCATCTGTAGATTACTGTATCAAGCGTCATTTTCTTCAACTTCAGGTTTGTGAAGGTGCTGTTTACATGCATCAGGGTGTCAATTACTTGGTTGAGGAACTTGACTTGGCATCAAGGACAGCCTTCTGTAGGAAAGCTGATTTGAAATATTACACAAAAACATGAGACTACACTGACATCAATGTCCTCGGAGGAGAATTTGTATGCTCTCAAGACTGACATCTCTAGCTCCCTGTACATTTTCTTCATTGTTGACTCATCCCCTGGAGTGGTTTTCAGCACTTCATTTTGTTTACTATTTTTCTACCTTGTTTATTTAACTCTAATCTAGTTCATCAAATATTATGAACTCTTGCACTTTGACTCTTCCAATATATGTTGAAGGCTTATCTTCCTACAAGCACATGTAAAACTAATCGCATGAAGACAACTGCTCAAGCAAATGACTGTACGGTGACTACTAAATGGTTTGGTTTTTATCGTATATCAAAATCGAGCAATAAAATATCCGACAGCCTTGAGCTTAACCTGCCCCCATATTCCTTTATTTCCCAGGTCCGTGGCTTGAATACGATTACTGCATAAAATTTTGACACATTCTCACATGATCCTTACATTTCTGTATGTTGCCCAACCAGGCTGTTTGGGTGCGAATTCCCCACTCAGTAAAGATGATCGTGGAGGAAAGAAACCTAGAGTTCAGAGGTGGCTCACATGCTGCTTCGCATGCACTCCTGAATGTAGTGCCTCTGTAAGTTATTCATTGACCCCAGAAAATTTGATGTCTGATCGATAATTTTCTAAAGAAAATATTTTCTTAAACCAGAATATGGGTGGTTGGTAATGCAGTAGTGAATATTTCTTTCTGGAGCTACACCAGAGACTTATAGTGCAACTGTTCAGGTTTTTTTTTTGTTCTTTTAATTGTCTGTAACTTTGTGTTGATTGTGCATAAATTTTCGCAGGCATATGATGTGCAGTGCTTCTGACCTAGGAACAGAATGCGCGAATCCTCATGAAACCCGTGGCATCCTGGACAGAATCCTTTTATATGATAGACATCCAGGTGGTATCGGCATAGTATCACAGGTAATTTTTCACTGGTTGAGATTGTATTGCCGTCTATGTTGTACATGTTGTACTTACAGAGATTGTAAATCCGTTAATGTTGTCACTCTCCCCTGAGAGATGCTTAATCATTAGAGTGATGGAGTACTCATGGATCTACTGCAGCCGTATAAATCAACAGTTTTTGCTAGCACAATTAGCTTTAACTGATTAAGTGAAAGTCTAAAATATTCCTTCTGTCTTTTTTGTTCAAAATGTAGGCCCAAATGCTCTTCGGGGAACTTCTACTAGCTGCTTTAGAATTCGTTTCCACGTGCAACTGCACAAGCGCCGTTGGCTGTCCAAACTGTATCCAAGTAAGTCTGAACGCATGCTGTGCAGAACTGTAACTTCAGAGAAAAGACGAGCTCTTCGATCTGATATCCTCTATTTTTTCAGTCACTGACATGCAGCGAATATAATGAGGTTTTGGACAAGGAGGCGGCAATTTTGATTCTAAAGGTAAGTGATTTACGCTTGTTAAATTTTATGTGTCGCTCACCGTCGATCACCGCAGTAGACGTATAACATTGTCATTGATATAGGGAGTAATCGACTTTGAGAGATCGTACTTTGAAGCGGAAGCTGACGTCGAAGCTACGCGCCGGTTTTGACAGTAGGTAGTGAGGAGTGATGTGTTCATTACTGTTTTTTTTTCGCAAAACAAAAAAGAACAGAAAAAACTTCAGCGTTGTTTGGTGTTCCTGTTTGTAGATGTAGAATTGTAGGGGTTCAGTGTACTCACATTTGTAGCCTCGTCATATCAAAGTTGATAGCACCCTACAACAATGGGGTCCATACATCTATACATCCAAAAAACGGCACAAATTGTCATGTGAGAGCTACTGGCGGGCCCGCTCATGTTCGGACGTGCATCACCTCTAGCCCAGGTGCCAGGTGCATTGCGGCCTAGCCGCCGGCCGTTGACCTCTCGCGCGCCGCCCACGCTCCGTGGACACGAAGCGCGCCGCACAATCGCGGTTCCTGTCTCGACGTCGTCGACGTTGACCTCTTTTTATCCCGTGGCGGACGCTCGGGACACGTCCTGTCCAGTCCAGCCTCGTCCCACCTCTCACCATCGGTACTCCTGTTGCTCCCGCTGTGCTGCGTGCACTCGGTTCCCGGCCACTCTCTCTCTAGTGCCCGGCCGGTCAGCGTCTCCACTCCGGCCGGACGCACGACGCCAAGGCACGACTTTTGCTCCTCCCCCAGCTTTCTGCGACTGCGACCTGGCGGCAGCTGGCCAGATTTCTTTTGCCCCCTGCCCCTGGATTGCGCGGCAGGGCACGGCGGATTGCTTTTGGGCATGGAGATTGGAGAGCGAGTCGCCGTTGACCCCGGGGAGACATGATCCCGTCCGGCCACCGCCGCTACGAGCCCAAGCTCGGTTGGTGGTGCGAGTTGACAGGCGCGCGCCCCATGCATCGTCGTGCTCCGGACGTGACGCCTCGTGACGATCGGACGCGACACGGCAGCAAGTGCAGTGCAGTGCAGGCACTGGTGATCTCTCTCTGTGCACAAGCGCAGCGTTGACCTCGTAGCCTCCACTGACAGTGTGTTGTCTCCTGGAGGGATGTGTCACGAGGTGACACCTCAACGGCACCGACTCGCTGCACGAAGGAGTAGATAGGATATACAAATAAATACAATATATCTAATAGATGCAAAACCCTAGGAAGCAAGCAATTTAGATACGAAATTGAAACGACTGGCATGCTACCTGACGAACCGGCGATCCGAAAAGAAGAGAAGCGACCCGCGGGGAACCACCGACTCGGCTAGGGTTGGCAGTGGCGTGGATCGGCGACACTGGATTGCGATTGAAGTCACCAGCGAGGATGCAATTTGGATGCTAGGGCACCGGAGGGTTTTGCTCGGCGGTGGAACTAGGGCACAGTGATGCTGAGCACGGTGAGGGCGCGGCGGAGCTTGCGCGAGGCGTGGCGGCTAGGGCACGCGCGGCGGTGCGGGGAGTGCAGCGCGGGCTAAGGCGTGCGGGGCTCGGCGGCGCGGGAAGTTGCTGGAGGCGCGTGGGTGGCGAATCCGGCGAGAGTGATGCGGCGGCTCGGGACGATGGGGGCGCGGCGATGTCGGCGGTGGATTAGGTCAAAAGAAAACGCCGGTGATTTGATTAAATAGGATGGCCCCCACGAGTCAGAAAAGGAAACAGGAAAGAGACCTGATGCCGCACGTTATCTACTGACCGGACGCTCCGGTGGTAGCAACCGGATGCTACCACCCAGCGTTCGGTCGATTCTAGAGAGGTCCAATTCCTCTGGAATCGCGACCGGACGCGTCCGGTGGACACCAACCGGACGCAGCCAGAGTCCGGTCACCTAGCCTTGAAGTCTTCATGATTGACCGGACGCTGAAGCTCCTCCTGACCGGACACTGGGAAAACACTGTTTCAGCGTCCGGTCACTCCTGCTCGGCAGCTGTTCACCTCCTGTGAACTGACCGGACGCTGGACATCAGAGTCTGGTGCAGCGTCCGATCACTCCTTTTTCAGCAAATCTTCACTAACTTTCGTGCTGCCTGTTCCCAATCAAGTCCCAACCCAAATAAGATCCAAATAAACACCAATTGGGACTGATGTGAGTGACCTCTCTCAAACCCTCAAGTTTTTCAAAATATTTTGCCTTAGGCTATAATTCTTTTTAAGAAAATAGGCAATAAGAGGGCAAGTTAAGATAAACGACAAACAACATTCATGTATATGCAATACTTGAATGTAAATCTAGTTGCTTGTCAAGTTTGATCCAAGGTTAAGCTTCTTCACACGCTTTTCGACGGTTATCTTAACCATGTTAGACAAGCCCTATGTGCATTGCCACAAAATAAACATGTAGTATATTGCAATGCAATGCAAGGGACAACATAAGCTCATCTTTTAGTGAAGTTACTAAAATCAAGCACATTGAGCTCATTCCGCAATCTACAAAATGTTGTCTCATCTAGCGGTTTAGTGAAGATATCCGCCAATTGATCTTCGGTCCTTACACCTTCTAATGATATATCATTCTTTACAACATGATCTCTAAGAAAGTGATGGCGGATATCTATGTGCTTGGTGCGAGAGTGTTGAACCGGATTATTTGCAAGTTTTACCGCACTTTCATTGTCGCACAAAAGAGGTACTGTTTCTAGAACTACACCATAGTCTAGCAAAGTTTGTTTCATGTAAAGTATTTGTGCACAACAAGCACCCGCGGCAATGTATTCCGCTTTGGTGGTGGACAAAGCCACACTATTTTGTTTCTTGGAGGACCAAGACACAAGTGATCTACCAAGCAAATGACACCCTCCGGATGTGCTTTTTCTATCAACTTTGCATCCGGCATAATCCGAATCGGAATAGCCAATTAATTCAAATATAGCTCCTTTGGGATATCAAAGGCCAATGCTTGGTGTGTGTTTAAGATACCTAAGAATTATTGTTACGGCAATTAAATGAGTTTTCTTAGGATTAGCTTGAAATCTAGCACACATGCACACACTAAACATGATGTCGAGCCTAGATGCGGTTAAATACAATAAGCTACTGTCGACGAAATATGGTCGACAGTCTATCTAGGGGTATACCCAAGGTAGTAGATTGTCGGCAGACAGATGCGCAAGCCACAAACAAGACGGTGACGCAAGACAGACACAAGGTTTTATCCAGGTTCGGCCGCCAAGAAGGCGTAATACCTACGTCCCGGCGTCGATTTGTATTGTCTGTATGTCAATGAGAGATGTTTTTAGAGGGGTCCCCTGCCCGCCTTATATAGTTTGGGGGACAGGGTTACAGATCTGGAAACTAATCCTAGCCAGTTACAATTGTCATATGTGGCCGGATAAGGATTCCTATTCTAACCGACCAGGATCTTGATTGATCGCCAAATCCGCCTTGACTCCTTGCGCGGGACTCCGATCAGGTTAACCGGGCCGCACGTCGTCTTTTGGTGGACCGAACCCACCGATCCGGGCCGGCCCAAGCTTAGCCATAAGGGTATAGGGGTTAATACCCCCACAGCTAGTCTTCGAGCACCATGTATTATGCTGCGACACGCCATTTTAACCTTCTCCGACAAGTAAGGCTTGAGTCCTTGACGTCTCTGACCACCGTTGTCGTCGGAGAAATCGGTTGTCCGAAGAATATATGGTGCTCTTAAGAAAAAAGAAAAAGATTTTCGTCCTGGGAAGTGTGCCCACTTGTATTTCTGAATAGAAATGTAAATGCGTCTCGGAGCGTAGCGTCCTTGATCATCAGAGGCGTAGGGGTCGAAAAACAAACACATTCACCGCAAGGTGAAGTGTGCCCACTTAGTCCCCGAGCCTGGTAGTAGGTGACGTAGGCACGTGGTGCCGTGGTCTAAAAGAATTCCCGCTTAAGTTGAGAAACGAATCGTCGTACAAGCGATACAAGATGCACCGGCAGGTGCATCGTACCGATGTAGTCCCCGAGCTTGCTGGAAGGCGAGGTATGAGCCTTGTAGCAAGGTCTAAATAAATGTCTCTCAACTGTATGTGAGTACAAATCACATGTAGCCGAGAAGAATGATCTCCGAGCAGTGGTCGGGACAGTCCCCGAGCACATCAGTAGCCGGAGAGGTCCCCAAGCGTGGCGATGGTCTCGAAAGCAAAGCCGAAAACGCAGCGATGGTCCAGGCGATCCCGAAACTGCGGCGATGGTCCAGTCCATCATTGAGCTCAAGATATGCGTACCAAAGAAAAGAACACCGATTGTATTATTATTTGGTGTATTTATTTATCTCCTTACTCACAAGTCCAATCGCCACGCGTCTGGTCAAAAAAGCGCACGGATATAACATATCACTCGCCTTCTTACTTTTTTTTCGACAAACGATCGCTTGGCGCTGTGGAGGTGCGTCGATGTGGGCCCTCACACATTATCAACGAAGAGGCGCGATCTTTGAAACGAAGGGGCGCATTTGTTGGCGTAGATCTCGAGGTTGTGAAAACAACCGTCTGCGGCGTGTGCGCACGCCTCCCAAGAATCTCGGGCGGACGAAACGACGGAGCCCTTGGTTATTTATAATATAGAGCTGGTAAGTTACTTTTTATCGATCCCCATTGTCATTCACCGCCGCAACCTTCTTCTTCCTCTCGCCGAACCCTACTCCTCCGAAAATCACCACCAATCCCTCCTCCACCGCATCCACCCTCTTAACAAGGGCAGATCAATGGCGAAGAGAAACGCCCAGAAAAAAGGCGGAGTCGTGGCGAAGGAGTGGTGGAAGTCAAGGAGCAATGAGCAGACCATCGAAGACCTCGTCGCCATGGGAGTGCTCCACAACAAGGCACTCGCGGGATGGCGTGCGCTGGAAGGAGAAAGCTTCCCCGATCCACAACCAGGTGAGATTGTGGTTTTCGTGGATTTCTTCAAACGGGGTTTTGGGGTTCTAGTGCACCCTTTCCTTCAGGGGCTCTGCTTATATTACGAGATTGGGATTTGCAATCTGCATCCCAACTCGATTCTTCTTGTCTCCACCTTCATCCATCTTTGCGAAGCTTATGGTGGCTTCCAGCCCCATTTCAACCTCTTTCGCCATCTGTTCTGTCTACGGAAGAAAGGGAGCGAAGGCTCAAAGGTAGCCGGAGGCGTATACCTCAATCTGCGTGATGGTATGAAGGCCTAGTACCTGCACTACCCATGGAACACCTCACTGGACGAATGGTACAAGAAATGGTTCTACATCCGCGAAGAGCCGAACACG